CTGGATGAACCGGTGCCGAGTGAACCCCTTGATGATACTCCCGAAAGAAAGATGGAGGGGTCACTAACTTATTCGCGCAAGGTCCCTCCATTACTCGTGCGACTCTTCGTTTCCCGAATGCACCTCGGTATCTAAACCTTCCACCGCAGCAGCACCAACGGGACGTTGTTGACGCCAAGGTCTCCACCCAGGAAATGGAGGTCGCCAATCCGGAAAGCGCCGACAACGCCGATAAGTATGACCAACTTCATCACACGCCCAGCAGCGAACATCACGGCCACGACCACATCCTCGCCCTTGTCCTTGGACTCGAGTAGCAGCAGCATCAACCTCCATGGGAATAGGACCATCACTCATAAGAAGTGGAGCTGAAGGACATGTAGCAAGAAGTGGAAGAGGCGACGTCTCATAACGTTGTGCCAAGCGAAGAGCATCATCAAGGGTGGCAGGAGCAAGTGCATGCACAAGGCCAACAAGATCTTGACGAAGTGCTGGCCACAACATTCCTAGCTTGATCCGCTCCGATATATTAGGCTCCGCACGAAGCAAAAGACTTCGGAAACGAACGCCAAATTGCATCACCGACTCAGATGGCCCTTGGCGAAGATGATGCAATTGTTGGAAGGCATCGTCACAATCGTCGGCATGTCCGAAAGCACATTTGAAGACGTCCGGAAGAACACTCCAATCCCCACGAGTGGCCGCACTCAATCCATTGTACCACTGTAACACCATCCCTTGGAGACACGTGGGAAACTCACGCAAACGTCGAGCATCATTCCAAGAATGATATGTGGCAATCACCGTGAAGTGATCGAACCAATGGTACACATTATCCCCAGGATTCCCACGAATGAACTCCGGCCGAACGCGAGGATTGGCACCAAGAGCAGGAGGAGTTGGAACACGTCCCGTGAATGCTGCCATCAATTGAGTTTGGTTGTTCAATTGCAAGCGTATAGCATCAAGCAATTGAACCAACTGCTGCTCTAGAGTCAAAGGAGGAAATTGCGGATCGGCCATGAAGATGAACGAAAAAGAAAGAGCAAAAGAAGAGAAATGACAAAAGCTGGAAAGAAATGGTAGATCTATACAATGCAAAAAGCTAAATCTAAACCAAAATCCTGAAAGAAAAGAACAAAAGAAAGGAAATGGAAAAAGCTAAATCTAGACGATACAAAAGCTAGATCTAAACCGAAATCCCAAATCCAAGCACTCCCCAGGGACAATCAAAGGTACCCCTCACCTCCACCAATGTGAGCGCATGGAATATGGAACGGGAATACAGAAATGTGCATATCAATTAGCCCAAAAACCTTAGCTTATATACAGGAGCGAGTGGTCCAGATTGAAACCAATCCGACGGCTACCAAAATCCCACTACGCTAATATTAGTATACGGCATCGTAGCCGTACACTTGGCCCTCACAAATTGAATTTAAATTAGTGAATAAAAAAATAGATATCGTAGCTGTACACTTGGCCCTCACAATATGTGTTTAGAGTTTCTCATAAATTCTCTAATAGTATTTTGAAGTTTTTCCATGATTAAAACACTTTTTTCATTTTAAAATAATAATCACTATTTTCTATTTTACTTTTGCCTTTGGTTTTCTTCAAGATAATTGTTTTGTCTTCATCCAATTAGTCAGCTTTTTTGTCTCTATTCTCCATTAAGTCAACTATAATTCTAATAAATCCATTATAATATGCTTTGTGACATTTAGTTTTTGAAAAAGTACTTATTCATTTTTTTAATCTTATCTTACCTCAATGTTACAATTAAAAAAATTAGAAATAGAGATACACACATATATTTTTTATTTCCACTTATCTTAGCTCAATGTTACAATAAAAACTTAGAAATAGAGATACACACATATATTTATTTCTTCCAGCAATTTATTTTTTTCTAAGATATTATCAAAATTAGGGAAAAATTTGACAACAAATAAATTCTCTTGTACTTGGGGAGTATTTTTGAAAAATCCCTTAATATCTTAATTTGAATATATTAAATTTTTTATCCACTTTTGATATTGTTTTTATCTTTACTACTTATACTATTTTCTTAACAAGTGGGGTTACTACTCAATCTAAATTGTGGAAGAGAGAAATAAATCAAAAATAAAGTTTCAAAAAATAAAAAAGCTTTAACAAGAAAGCAAAAAGAAGAAGCCTCAACTACCAGTTAAAAGGGCTAAACTAATGGTTAAGAGAGTGAGATAAACTATTAAAGAACCTATTGAATTTGGTTGTGAGAATGGGATAAATTACAATAAAATTTATCAAGAAAGTAGGTTAAATTTTTGAGAATTTGGTAGTGAACTAAATCTTTCATGAAAGAATGGTATAAAATCTTGGTGCATTAGATGAGGGTAACAAAAAAAAACTTTCACAATAGCTATATTCAATAAAAAATTTAAAACATCAAGTAGATTTAGAGAGGGAGGAATAAATAATAATTTTTTTTTCATTTTAAAAAGTTTTTTCCCTATTTTTTGGCACTAGTGACTACTTAGTAAATATTGTTTACTTATATAGCAATTTTTATTACATAACAATTGGTTAAAAAAACATTAAATTTGAAGGTGTAGGATCAAGCAACTTGAGACATCAAGATGCATGAAACCAAAATAATGACACTGAACACTTCTATCCTCCTATCACAAATCTTCAATACATGGCCTATTTGTTTTCAGGAACTTAGCCTTAGATGGAGGAGAAAACACATACATCCCCAATACAGTTCCACTGTATAGAAAGTTATACTTCAGCAAGCCAATTGTAGATTTTCTAGCTCAAGCACTAAGCCTTCTATTGTTACCACCTTTTCTCAAGTTAGGTGCCAATTTTCTAATGGAGTGAACTTTGCATTTCCTAGGGTAGGCATATTAGATGAAACAAATGCCCTTCAAGCATGTATCCATCTTCTATAGTTGGTTTTGATTCTTTTTAACATCAGAAATGATAACAAAAAGGAGAAGGGTTTGGAATAGCTTTTTGAGGAATTCTGTGGCTTTGTTTAGCATGATCAAAGTTACTCAACAATATCAGCACAAAGTGGGAACACCAATTTAATTTTACAGAAATCATTACTTCTGTGGAATCATACAAAATTGTTTAGAATTTTGTTGTGAAAGTCACAATGATTGTTATGACTTGAATGTTGCTCCATCTCTTATTATAGTAATTAAGTTGAGAAATCCTTAAAAATATCATACACAAATATGATAATACATCATTCCATTCATATTAACATGTTTATATGAATCTAGGTTTCAAAGAGGCAGATAGTGGTAGACTTTTTGATGTAGTTGAGTTTTATAAGAATGCTATTGAAACAAAACCACAAAAATATATATGCTAACAGTCCTAAGGATTATTTAATGACTATTTTACCATGGAAAGGAAAAGTGAGATCCTGTAGAGTGATGTTTTAGAATATTAAAATGTGCTAAAGTACTTTTGATATGAATTTATCAATTTCTTTTTTCAAATAATTATTCTAGATCCCACTTTTAACTAAATTCTATTAAGAGAATTAATTTTTTAAAAAATGCTAAGTTCTCTTTAAAACATTTTAACATCCAAGTAATATAAAAAATTTTACTAACCTTTGGCTTTCCACATCAATGTAAAGTGGCACATTGGTTTGTGATGGTCATTGGACAATGTTGACAATGATAGGCATTGCTACACTCGTTTTTTTAACGAGCTGTTTATGCATGATGCACAAATGAATAGTTATCACATCTATCTCCCAAACCAGACCCTGGATTCACAGAAGAAGAGATCTTAAGGTGATCATATCACAAGAGTTTGTGTTTCTTTATATGGAATAGCTAGGTATAGAATTTATTTATACTAATAAAGATAAAAATGTTTTTAGATTGTGAGTGCAATGGAATATGGAAAGAGAATACAAAAAATGTGTATATCAATTAGCCCAAAAACCTAGCTTATATATAATAGTGAGTGGTCAAGATTGAAGTTAATCTAACAATTACTAAAATTTTACTACATTAATATACGGCATTATAGCTATACACTTGGACCTCACATCACTCCCTCTTCACAGAATGATGGAAGACCATCAGAGTTCTCTCATGGATGGGTTGGGATTTGGAGGAACATCAAGAAGAGGCATTGGTAGAATTGTAGATGGTGCCAATTATTCCTGATCCCTTTATACAAAACGTTTTAATTACTATATCTGCATAATTTCTGGAGGATCGACTTGTTAAATGTCATGTTGAACTTTATAAACTTTCAATTCAACTTGTTGTAACACTTTATATAGACCTTTCTATTGAGCAAGGAGCCTTTTAGATAAACCGTATACCATAATATTGGGAAAACAAATTAACATCAATTCATTCACTTTGTATTCTGTAGATGAATGATGATGGGAGTTGTATTATTGTTGTTATCTCACTTGTACACAGCCCAGGTGTTTGGCAGACTTTGCTCAAACAAGTGGAAGAATGCTCATCAAATACTAATCCCACAACCTAGTATCAGCAACCCACAGCAATCGCAAAGGTAAACCCAACTTTGTTAGTAGCATTAAATCATAACAATATAAAAGTTTATATAGTGAAGCACCAATAAAACTTTATACCTTTATAACATACGCATACTAAAGAAACGACAAATAACCATCTCAATGTGAATGCTGAAAGTTCACATACTTCACGATCATCTTTTTGAAAGTTTAAATCCTTCCACCAAACTATTTGATTGTGGATGGTAAACACTTGTGAAAGTGTGGTGTATCCCCAACTAAGACGTTAAATCACGTCTTGATTTTCATGGTCAAATGGAAGAAATACTAACTGGAGGTGGCCACTTTCAGCTCTTACACGCTCAAAGCCTTGAAGTTACTTTTGTCCATGGCCTGACAGCTTGTCTATATGATAATCACTGAACTGTAGCAGAGAGACACTTACGTCAGATAAAAGCTCAAGAACTCTATCCTGACTTTCCTTGACTTGGGATTCAGAAAAGCTTTCCAGCTTCTTGACATTGCCAAGAGGATTGAAGAGCTCATAGACATCCTGCAATGTTCTTTCAATGAAAGAGAAGAAAACTTGAAACAGTAGACCAGATGCTGTAGCTTACAGTGAGATTCTCTTGTCTAGAGCGATACTGCAAGGCAATTATTTGCTCCAGCTTGTCACAAAGCAGCAGAAAATCATCCCAATGCGCTGAAAAGGCAAGGGGTCTTATAAACCAAAATGCTACGCAATCTAGTACCCTGACCGATAAGAAGAACAGAGCTTGGAGATGAGCTCCTTCTTGGGAATCTCAATCACAATCTCCAGCTTGAGGCGGATGCTGTGGTCCTCCACTCGCAGTTCGATCTCCGACCTGTCCCTGTGACAAGAAGCACAATCAGGGGCGGACGAGAAAGATGAAAGAATCAAACATACGCAGTGTACTTACATTGCTTTGGCAAGAATAGAGGGAGGGCGCCTCCGCCCAGCTGCATTTTGTTCGCGGCAACACCATCGCTTTGCTTGCTGCCAACTCGTGAATCTCCTCCTTGCGGATCAAGGAAGAAAATAAAAAATATTAGGGCTCTACATTTGAGTTAGTGACGTGGATTAGGGCATGCGAGGTGGGCCCGTTAAGGGTAACTAGCTGTTTCTCGAATATGCTTACTTTAATACCCTTTCTATTATTAGGCGCCCTTACCCTAACCCTAACCCTTCTAACCCTTAAGCATGACGTCACGGTCAATGTCCGCTGTGCAAAATTCAGAGTTGGTTGGCTTCGTAAGTTGGACATATTTTCTGGACATAATGCGAGTGCTCAAAGAGCTTCTTGTCGTCAAGCTCCACATAAGCCAAAATTTTCTCCTTGCAAAACAGGTTTCGCACGCGCAACGTAGTCTTCAAATAAATTACAGCCAGGGGACTCTGTTCCTCGTCTCCATTGATCGCAGGAACTCAGTCCGAATGGGCAAGGCGATTTGCGTGACTGGAGCTGGTGGTTTCATTGCTTCGTGGATTGTTCGTGATCTTCTTAACAAGGGCTTTTCAGTTCATGGCACTGTCCGCGATCCAGGTTCTGGTTTGTTGTCTTTGTTCCAGATCTAGTGATGGTGGCTTTCAGATGACAACGCCAAGTGTGGACATCTTAAGCAACTGGATGGAAGCAAGAGACTAAAACTACATAAGGCTGATGTGCTCGACTATGACTCAATCGCTGACGCGATTCGGGACTGTGAAGTTGTGTTCCATACTGCTTGCCCTGTAACCGCATCGACTGAGAATCCAGAGGTAGTCTCCTATTTCATTTCTTTTCTCTGGATAAGGCTGACTGTGTAATTGAGTCCCAGGATGTTTTGGTGCCAGCAATCACCGGCACTCGCAACGTGTTGCAGGCCTGCGCACAGGAGAGGGTCAAACGGGTCATTGTCACGTCGTCCGCGGCTGCGGTGATGTTCGATCCAAATCGGCCTGCGAAAAAAATTGTCGACGAGAGCTGCTGGTCTGATTCTGACTACTGTACAAAGCTCAAGGTAAACTTATCCTCACCCTCGACGAAGTTACTGTGTTGTACTCACTGAAACTCTTGTTTCAAGCAATGGTATCTTTTAGCCAAGACGGAGTCTGAGAAGCTAGCGTGGAGTCTCTCCAAGGAGTACGGCCTTGACCTCATCACGATCTGCCCCTCGTACGTGTTTGGCCCGATGCTCCAGCCAACGCTGAATCTCAGCAGTGCGGTCTTGAAGGCTCTCGTGGATGGTTTGTGCTTTAAAAATGCTTCAGAAGCCTGATCGATGTGTCTTGTTTCCCCAGGTCATGAAAGCAGCTACCGTGATTCCTCCATTCCGTGATTCCTCCATTCCCGTTGTGGACGTGAGGGACGTCTCGAAAGCTCACATTCTGGCCATGGACAAGGAGGAGGCCTCGGGCCGCTATCTCTGCGTGGAAACGGTTGTGTCCAACAGCGAGATTATCAAGATTCTCAGGGCCAAGTTCCCGCAGCTTCCATATCCAAAAGAGTAAGCGTCTCTAGTTCGTTTCTGCCGATATCTATAAAGCTAGAAACTCTAGGTGCGTTGCTGAGACGAGCGTTTGGAACCAATCGGGAATCCGTCCCGACAATCTGGGAAGAGAGAAGCTCTTGGGGCTAATCACTGAGTTTGATATACCATTGGAACGGATGCTGCTTGACGCTGTTTCCGACATGCTAAACAAGGGACTGTTAAGAGCCATCTGATTTACCGGAGATTAGAAACATCGGGTCTACCATCTCCCATATAAGGACTTCAATTTGTGTCCTGGAAAATGAAACAAGTTCCTATTTGTGTTTATTCTCTCTGTACAGATTACTGGCTCCAAGTCTTTAGGTGTGAAAGAACTTGCTTGAAGAGACAGATCTACACTCCCAAATAAAGAACCCAGCAAAACCAAGAACAAAAACTCCAAGAACACGAATATCATGCTTCATCAAAGTCGCATAGTCTCAAAGCCTTCAACCGAAGCTTAAATCGTCCGGGTGCCGCACAAGCTAGCTCGATGTTGCTGTGTTTCTCCAGTCCATAATTCACGACATCACTCGAGACATGTTTGGTTGCCTGGTCAGAAAGTTCTCGAGGAAGACTGAGGCTAAAACCACCAAAAATCTCGACGACTGTCACCTGTGGTTTTGATCTTGATGCAAACTCTTCTCTCCACGCCACCAATCTTCCGCTGCTTACAATCCTCCTTACTTGCTCCTCATCGAAGCCAAAGTGGCGGTACCACGAAAGCACCAGCGCTTGGGACGCAGGATTGAGCACTGCCAGCGGCGGCGACCACGGCAAAAATCCTTGCTTCTCCGTGTCTAGCAGCTCGATCTCTGGATTGAAGCGTCTCATCGCCGCCAGACCCAAGCTATACATCCTCTCACTGTTGGTTTGCCTGTGCCGGTACGTGCTCGACTCCAAATCCCACTGCAAGACCGTGAGAGCCTCCACCAGGCTCACATCTCGCTCCTTGGAGGCCTCGATGCACCACAAGATCGTCCCCAGCACACGGACAAGGCTGTTGTCTCTTCGCGCCTGGAAGATCCCACACGGATACGCAGCTCCAGCTCCTGTGAACTGGAACTCTCCACTGTAAACTGGCAGGAAGTTCCTCTCCTCTCCTGGAGCGCACACCGAGCAAGCCATGTCGTCCACCATGATGGTTTGCTCCATGTCCACCTCGATCGCCGTGGGGAGATCCCGGAGCCTCTTGATCACTGTGAATCCGTCCACCCGGTAGAGATGGTTCTGCGAGAAGACACTGCAATCCTTGAGGCCTCCTGCTGCTGTGCATGCTGGGAAAATGTCGGCCAGGAGGCTTGCAACGAGCAGCGAGTTTCGCGATTCCGGGCCGAAGCTGAAGAAGCTGACGCTCATACCTGGGATTTGGCTGAGCGCGAGTAGAAACTCGCGGCATCCATGCAGCGGCGCGTAGGAATCGCCACCGGCAGAGTGTTTGCCGCCGCGATCGAGGCGGACAAGCGTCCGGTCGAGGTCCAAGAGCACCTGCATGCTCAATAACCCTAGAACTTTTATTTATTTTAGGGTTTTAGACTGGAAGCAGGATGTTAGACGGCGAGGGTATTTATATGGATGAGAGCTTTGGGCAAGCCTATGCCCAACATAAGAGAGACGAAAGGAGAAATGACAAAAGAAGCTTCTCATCGCTCACCATACTTCTGGAGAAAAGACCCTTCGTTCCTCTTCATCCAAATCCATTCTCACTCTTCATTCTTCAAATACCCACTCATTATTTTTTTCTTGCCTTTGTCCTTTGAAAAGACCTTTGGAACTGTAGCCTCTCCGATCACCAATCTGCAAGTTTATGTTGATCTCAACATGGAATAGATTTAGATGATTCTCATCCTGCTCTTAAACATTTTTTCACTGTAGTTAAATAGAAGTTAGATCTAAGTAGGGCAAATCATAGTAAAGCTTGAGAAATAGAGTGTTAAGGGTACAAGTTTTAGGGTTTGGAACGGTTCCTCAATTGTGAAAAGACAGAAGACTATGTATTGTCTACATTCTTCTAATGCCAACTTTAGCTACAACCCATTCGGTTGCCATCATCCATGGTGGCAGAATCCAGCCTGTATTTGTTTATGTTGGCTCCACTTGCTAAAAGTGCTTATACCCCTATACCTCCTAGCTGTATAATACAGATGATATCAAATATCTATGTAGCAAATTTTCATTCGTTCTAAATTTTTCCAACAATTAACCAGATCTCTACTAATGATAACACCTTGAAGAATCTTGTGTGTGTGGTTTGTGTTTGTCTACTACACAATCTTTGCATCATTCACAAACTTGATAATGCTAGATTAGTGAGGCTCACAAGAGTTACAGGCTTCTCAAGCTTTTGAGATGTAAATGATATCAACAATTTAAAATTTAAAGTCTAAAGGATTAAAATAATTGTCTAATGTTGCTGTTTATGAATTAAGTTGAGTGTGGTCTAAATGTTTTTTTTCCAGAGAAAGAAAAATCAAATTATTGAGGCAAAGAGAAATGCAAGTGAATGAAAACTAAAGCCTTATTTCAAATCCTAATTAACACCTAGTATATGAAGAATTTGGTGAACAAAAATTTAATGAAGAATTGAATTTAAATTAGTGATTTAAAAAATAGATATGTGTTTAGAGTTTCTCATGAATCCTCTTATAGTGTTTTGAAGCTTTTCCATGATTTAAACACTTTTTTCATTTTTAAATAATAATCACTATTTTCTATTTTATTTTTGCCTTTGGTTTTCTTCAAGATAATTTTTTTGTCTTCATCCAATTAGTCAGCTTTTTTGTCTCTATTCTCCATTAAGTCAACTATAATTCTAATAAATCCATTATAATATGCTTTGTGACATTTAGTTTTTGAAAAAGTACTTATTCATTTTTTTAAAACTTATATTACCCCAATGTTACAATAAAAAAAATAGAAATAGAGATTTACACATATATTTGTTGTTTCTTCTTATCTTAGCTCAATGTTACAATAAAAAATTAGAAATAGAGATACACACATATATTTGTTTCTTCCAGCAATTTAATTATTTTCTAAGCCATTATTAAAATTAGGGAAAATTTTGATTATTTTATCTTTACTACTTATACTTCTTCCTTTGCTTTCTTGTTAAAACTTTTTTATCTTTTGAAACTTTCTTTTCGATTTATTTCTCTCTTTCACAATTTAGATTGAGCAGTTAAATCCCACTTGCTAAAAAAATAGCCCCAACTACCAGTTAAAAGGGCTTAACTATTTGTTAAGAGAGTGAGATAAACTGTTAAAGAATCTATTGAACTTGGTTATGAGAATGGGATAAATTACAATAAAACTTATTAAGAAAGTAAATTAA